ACACACATTTGAACGCCGGAGTATACACAACCCAAAAAATTGTTGTCTTAAATCGATCGAAAACAGATAACTCGCCAGAGATTCTCTCGCCTCCAATTCATGCTTTTTCTTATTGTACTGCTTCCAGGCCATTTATTATTTGATAAAGTAAGGATTTCACATTCAAACGAACTGTTACATTTCCTGCCTACATTATGGACAAACGGGTTTAATCTTATTATTGGGACATTACTAATTCCTGAGATAGTCATTATAAAATTTTTCGATTAGCACAAATATCGTTCATTACAAACTTACCATAGTGGCCAACATCCGCCTTAGACTTAGGGAATAGATAAACATCACAGTGTATCAAACTGTGGTATAACATCCAGAGTAAAAATCACAGAAGACAAAACTTATTTCCTACATTGTGTTTTTCACCTTGTGTCACTCGAATTGTGTAAAATCGTAACCATATGACTAGTTTCATGTACATATTTTAGTATGAAATGCACCAGAATTGGTTATGTTTGTTTTGTTTTCAAACCAAAGTAGTAATTTCAAAATAGTTCGATTCGCTTTGACGGTTGCAGTTTCACTGCACAACCACCAGAATTTTACCTTGCCTTTATGGATTCCGATGACCCTTCACCATGTTCATTGATTTTAACATTGAGTAACATCCCTGAGTAATAAATAAAAATTGTTTTTTCGGAGTTGTACGACAGTGAATAGGTTAAATAAAATAGGACAGAACAGTCTTACACTGTATGCAAAAATCCTCTCCTTTCATATAGTAATGTAAAACTTCCTACCTCTGCAGGTCACACGGATTGCACATGGGTTTGAAAATTTGATCTCACAATCAAATTAGTACAAAGCACCTTAAATCACATGATCAATGAAGTGGAATTTCAGAATATTATAAATTCTAAAAAGTGTGCAGAAATTGCTTCCCATAACTTCATCCGGTTTTCCCCCTTTTTGCCCGAGATACCAAAATGATTGATTCTTTGGATCCCGGGCGGAACTTTGTCCCGGAAAAATACCCCACATAATCAATAACCCCTTGGATTTATTTAACTTATTACGAATATCTGTCTAGATTTGTTGATTTGCTTTGTTTGCCTCCTAAATCCCCGCTGGGTACACAAGTGCAAACAAAACACACACACACACACACGAAGTACAAAACATCCCAAATAAAACAATCCTTTTATTATCGCTGGAGAGAAATTTGCGTCATGGTAACCTTTGTTCACATTCCATCTCACAGGCTGCATCCCACAAATCTCGCCCGGAAGTTAGCTCCAAGTCTTCTGCACCCACACAACCACTTTCAGTTGTTCTGTCCATCACATCATACTAAACACCAAATTGGTGATTGCTGAGCTCGGAGAGATTTATTTCAAGCTTATAATTACTGGTGAGAAATTTCTTTTTCAACCTGTCATCTTTATCCCCCTTCCCACACACGTATTTCCGGTGTTCGATAGACCAAATAGGTGTGATCATAAATGATGGGGCGTTTCTGTGGGCGCAGTACTACAAATTGTCCATTGTCCATCACACGGAAAAAAGATGACTTTGTGCTGGACTTGAGCTCACGCGTATACACCTCCATTGTATGCATCAGAGAAAGCGAGACCAGGTGCACAATCGGAATAAAAATTGTTTTTCTCAGTGTATGTGTGTGCGGTAGTGATCACGAGGCAAACCGAAGCCTAGTTCGGGAAATTCAGTTCAGTTCTTAAAACCTTTAACCATGTACACTTTCGAAGGCCGGTTTTGATTGCTATCTTTAGGGTGCCCATTTGGATAAAAAAAAAGCAGAGTGATGAGTAGAGTGTTGACAGCAGATTCAAGCGGAAGAAAGCGCATTTATCTAGACTGAAGTTACAAGAATGATGAGTAGATGCCCGAGCGCCAATGTTTGCGACAACCAGCCATATCGCTCAGTATCTCTAACCATCAGCGACCATGATCTCGGGGTCCCCAGCCAGAGAGCCTAACGGGACGCAGTCTCCTGCTCAGGGTTTTCATACCAGGTCTTAGTTTGATCATCCTTGAAGCTTTTCCAACCGCTACCTGCCTCGGCAACCTATCTGGTGACATGCGTAATACATGCCCCAACCAGCGTAATCTATGGAGGTCGACTAGTTGCTCCAGTGGGCGGCTGCAGTTACCTAAAACTCTACGCCTAACCTCAGTATTGCTCGTCCGGTCTCCCTGCCAAACTCATGCAATGTGATGTAGACAGCGGTGTTTGAACACGGACAATCCATTTTTGTCCTATTCCCATAATGGCCAGGTCTCTACACCGTAAAGCAGCACTATCCGAACTGTTGCAGAATACACTCAACCCTTCACAGACCGCGCCACAGATGTCTCTAGTTGGCAAATGCCAATCGAGCCTTTAGTAGGCACGCCGACACTTCATCTGTGGTGCGTCCGCCAGGTGATAAAATTCAAATACCAGTTGAATTCAGGTCAAGCTTACGGTTCATATTTCCATTTTCAGTCACATTTTTTCACCAATCCTCTTCTCTCTGTTTGCACTGCGCACTCCTAAGTAGCGGACTAGCCACGGCAGCATCTAAGGGACCAACCAAGGATTAGCAGTCGGACGGTATGGTTAAAATTAGAACTTCGGGTTAAGCTAGCTGCTAGATGCTGAAAGTGATTGAATGAAATTTGACGCGAATACGATAAGCGCAAACTGAATTAGGAGTTTTTAAAAAGCTTCAACTAGCTTCACCATCAACAGCCAAACCGGAATGCAGTTTTGCTAACGATAATACTGGGGACACTGATCCCTAATGAGATGCGATTTGGAACTAGTGTCCCGCTGCCAACCTTTCTATGACCGAAGTTTCCATTTCGGAACTACTGAGACATTCATCAACGTTCACTAGGATTGATCTATCTAGCAGAAAGACTTTTTTACTCATCAGACATCGTACCGATCAAGGAGGTCGTATACTTTGCACACAAGTTTATATCAATGTACATGATATAAGTTCGATCGACCAAAAACAAATTAAATTGTCACAAGAAGGGTAGAAATAAGGGGCTTTTGTTCCTTTCATACTCATTCATAAGAAACGTTCCATTTTTAATTCCCTATTCTCTGACACCTTGTCCTTTTTATCCGGATTGACCGCCCTTCAGATTTCCTCTTTCTTATTTCACCCCCGCAACCATACACCCGGGTAGCACCATAGATTCGAGTTCCGTTCGTGAAAATGACAGTATATATATGATTGCGTTTCATCTGTTAGGTACCGGGTTCAATTCCCA